CTGCTCCCCTCAGCTGTGTGTTTCGGTCAATGTACCAGATGTGCTTCCCGCTCTGTCTCTGGTGAAATCCCCCCCATCCCCCCAACTCCCTGCACCTCTGGGCTGCCCCCCACCCCCGCTCTTGTATGCATAAATCAATAAATGTTTAAAAAGCAAGAATCAGAGGTGGCGCCTGACGTGGGAGCCATGCCCAGACCTGGCCCTGGGGTGCAGTGGGCTCCATGCTGCACCCCAGACTTTCTGTCCCAAGAGACTGAAGGCCGCGCAGCAGGGTGGCGGGAGCTCAGCTGTTTCCCACTTCTGCAGCTGGTGCAGCAGCTTGGTCACGTCATTGAAATATAAAGCCAATTTCCTCGTTATCAGGTGGAAGCAGGGGCCGCATCTCCTCCTGTTTCAGTCCATGTGTGCGGCCCACTCTTGAGACGCCCCCTCAGCCACCTCTGAGTTTCCCGCCTGAACTGTCCTGTCTGGAAAGCACAGCGGTGCTCTCAGCCACAGAGGCTCTGCACCACAGCTGGCCACAGGCGAGAGTCGGTCAGAGTTCGGGGAAAGTCTGAGCGTTTACATTAGCAGAGCCGGAATCTCTGAGCACCAAGAAACACTGCTTTTCAGTTTTTCTTTTATGTGCTACAGCACCTTGTAAAAATTAGGGACCTGAAATGTGGAATAAAGGACTGGAACTAGTCCCGCGTGGTTATGGCCTGAGCTGGGGTCTGCAGCGGGGGGCTTGGGCGCCTCGGGGGGCTCCTGTCCGCACAGCCCAAGCAGACGCCAGGGGTCCTGGGGCCCCACGAGGCTGCAGTGTGGGAGCCGGTGTCTGTTCTGTCACAGGAAGGATCGGGGGCTTGTAGATCCTGATGTCACAGGTTCCCTGGAGTTTTCAGGGCAGAAGCTGTGGCTATGCATACAAAAGCTCCATCTGGCCTGCTAAGGTGGACCAGAGGGGAAGCCAGACTGGGGCCCGGTCTGTGGGGTGGCGTGGGGCAGGGTTTCAGGCACAGACCTGAGACATGGGCCATGGATTGAAAAACGGGCCTGGGAAGGTGACATCCGCTCAGACAGCTGAACAGTAAAACCCTTCCTGCACTTTGGTTTTGTGTCATTAAAGCCCAAGCCCACAGGAGCCAGGAGACCCTGTCCTGCCGCAGGGCTGAGCCCCCTCCTGCCTGTGCCCCGCTCTCACCCCACTTCCTGACTGGCAGGAGGTTTTTGTGCTCTGGGCTGCGGCTCCTGCAGGGCTGTGCCAAGCTGCTGGCACAGAGATACCAGGCTGCGTCCATCTGGTTCACGGAGCTCACGGTCAGCTCAGAGGTGAAGTTCCTGAATTGTGTAACTTTGAATCCTTCAGGGATGGCTCCTTTTTCTTGCTCTGCTCCATCATAATAGCTAACCAGGAACTGGGGGCCCTGGCCCAGGGCCTTCTTGTACCAGTACACAGTCTGGTGTCCCTTCTCATAGCAACATCTCAGGGTCATGCTCTGTCCTTTCGCTGTGACCACATACTTGGG